ACACCTAAGGTTCGTGTTGGCGGTGATAAACATATGCAGTGAATATTTTTTGAAAAGAAACTCTAGAGAGGAAGAGAGAAAAAGAAAAAAGAGAAAAGAGAAAATCATTGTTGACGAGCCTCCACTAATCCAGGCCAGGTCAAAGAGACGGGTTCAAAATAACCTTGATGTTTGCCTTGTTCTGTGACTTGATTTTTCGGCTTCGTCAAAACAATATTGTCACATATGGAAAACCCAAAAATTATTATTTATATTGTGTTTGCTCTTAACTTATATATATATTTTTTAACTATTATTATTATTATTATTTAAAAATCAATTAAAATCAACCTTATTTGAATATAAAATTAAGAATGAATAACTACCGACTGTATTAGGTTCGGCTAAGAATTTACTCTGTACGCACTTTCGGATAGTTCTTATTTGAAAAAAAAAAAAAAAAAAAAAAAAAAAAAGGAATGAACAACTACCCACTTAGACATTTTAAACTAAACATAGTACAAACATAAATACAAAGTGTAATAAAAAGACTCCAAGGTATTCTGACTGAATCTGTGGATTAAATAAACCAAATATTTAGGTCAAGAAATCCACAATTAAGAAGAAATACTTAAAAGCAAACACCAAAGTTAAACACCGTAATAATAAAGATGAAGAAAGCCACGACATCATCATCATCACCAATAATAATAATAATTGTATTCTTATTTTTCTTAAAAATCACATCCAACAATTATAAAATTGCTTGTCCAATAATTTTTTTTTCCTTTCCTTGACACAATTTGCAATATAAAATATACTATTATATTTTTTTATAAAAAATTAATATTTAAAATAAAATATTATTTTTTATATTATCGAGCCGGGCTACATCAAAAATTTAAAAACAATAATAATAAAAAAACAGAAAATTTTATCACCAAGGCATCTTTGCATAGATTTATTATATGTATATATACATGGTATACATTATATATAAGTATAATTTGTTAATGCAATTTTTATTAAATACATTATTGTAATTTTATTTTATAGTAATATTTTTATAATTTATAAAAGGGAGAGTTGGACTAAAATCCATGTCAGAGAAATTCACTTTGAATTCAGTCCCTATTAAAAATTAATTACACTGCACTCCCTACTTTATGAATTAGGTTTATTATAGCTCCCTAAATTTGTTTTTTCCCCAATCACTGTTGTACATGCAATAGAATTCGAAATAGGTTGATCAATACTTCTAATATTTTAATATATACCTACATTACTTCCCGCTCTACCCCTATTATAACTTTGTATACTTCTACTTAAATATCGCGTACTTTTTTCGCGAATTAAAAAAAAAACAAAAACAAATAGACAATTACTCACGGTTTATAGGGGTTGAAGTAGGAAACATCTCATAACTTCCCTTATCCACTACAAAAAAATAGTTTATTCGTAATGGAATTCCGTTATTAAAGTTCACGTAGCTAACGTAATTCCATCTCAAATTCCGTCTCTAATATCATTAGTAACAGAAAAAGTAGATTTAACAACGAAAAAATTTTGTTACAAAATTGATATTTTTTTGTAGTGATCCCTATTTAAACCTTACAACTTCCATCGTCAGGCGAACCCTGATACCCTCCAACCCTCAGCGATCAAGTAACAACCGATCGGTGTAAAAATGGTGAAAAAAAAAATAGCTGATCCGCTCCCATCCCTAAGAACAAGATGGAAGAAGTAAGTGTCTAGTCGGACATTTTTCGATTGTTTATTTTGTTGACATTAGTATTTTATATCGTAGTTTGTTTGATTGTTTGGGTGTAAGCTTTGTCCCGTATCTATATGTATCGGTTCAATGTTGAGGAATCTTGGGTGATCGTTCGTATATTTGCCTACATAGACCGGTTTAGGTGTTTTATTTTGGCACTGATTTTGGGTGCTTTTATTTATTTAATTTGTAATTTTTGTTTATTTTGTAGATGTATATTTTGTTTAGTTACCCGGAGTTGCATATTTTAATTTTTTTGTTTGATTATCTGGTAATTAGTAATATTTGTGGGTTGACAAATGTGGTATTGTTAGGCACCCTGAGTTGTATTTTTTAGGTTAGTTTGCTAAGTAATATACTTTAAGGGGACTATTGTATACTCAGAATGTGTTGTTACGTACTCCTGATATATATTGATAAAATTTTAAATGAATTCGAGATTTGGATAATGTAGTCTGATGATATTTATTTACATATCGGAGAAGGAATATAAATTGGTTATCATGAGATTTGCAGTACTATTTTTCCGCAAAGAGGTGGGGAAACTGAAGAAACACATGTTGGACGAACATATTAAAACCATTAAAATGACTTCGTTCAGTCATTTTCTGGATATCTAGAAGATGAGGCTGTCGTGGCACAGCCTTCTTGTCTTGGTTAATAACTTTAACCCGGAGTCTACGTCATTCAACATACGTGACATTGAACTGCCCTTTGAAGTGGAGGAATATTCTATAGTCTTGGGACTACATTCGACAGGAGTTTACGTCACGGACAACGCATCAACAAATGATGAATGCTTTGTTCGGATATTTGGGGGCAAACCACGTTCTCTGGCCTGTGCCTAGGTGTTGCAGAAGCAGGATGAGACTCTAGCGCAGAGACTGGAGCCTTTATTTGTTGTTGATGTGACACTTCTCTTTATTTTGCTTATTTTTGCAAATATTTTATTTGTACCACAAATTATTCTGTATTTCTGTTTTTTGTTACCGTATGTGGATGACCTTACTGCGATTGGTGACTATGCATGGTGACGAAGCAATAAGATTAATGGGTCTGCCTGAATTTTAACAATCACACCCATATTTGTATATGGAATTGATGATTATGTTTTTTTATTCGAAATTATGTCAGTTGTTGGAATTAAATTTCTTAATAATTCTATAAATGGTTAGAATAATGCATGTAGTTTTAGTAAATCGAATTACTATGATTGAATTCCAGCAATATACTTTAAATAACAGTTTATATACTTGCATAATACTCATAAAAATACCCTCGCACTCATACATGCTGTCAATTTACCCATAACATAAAGACTGCATTGGTTTATGGTTGTTCGACAACCCAATTTTCAATGATGCATACTGCATTGAGATGAAGATTTAATATCCATTACCATCCAACTACCTGAAGACAAGTTGGATGATGCAGACACAAAAGATAAGTATAAATAACTTTACAATGTCTACTACAATGTCATTGAATGTGTTGCATACCTTGTTGAATACATACGTATAGTGGTTAAACTTTTTGTTATAGTATAACACATGATAATATGGGACATGCTTTCACCGAGTTCCTTATGCCCCTCTTTTAGAAGATTGATTGTTGTTGTAAGAAATCAATTACATTTACGGATACCTGGTACTTTACACCTAATACCTTATCTATAAATATGTATACCTCTATTGTCAGTTTATATGCCCGATACGCACATTTATGTACCTACATACACTATACTTATATCGTAATTCGGTAGTTATGTACTTATAATATAATATCAAATGCTCCGTGTACACATACTTATGCCCGGGGAACCCCTACTTAAGAAACTTATAATTTTGGATATCATATATCCACTTGTTAATGGTAAATAGGGATGAATTCAACATAATAGTATTCTCACCCATTCTTAGAGAGTATTAAAATGCAAATAGTAAATATTTACAAAAATTCAACGAAAAAAATACCATTACATATATGCAATAAATGTCCAATATCTACTTGTGGATGGTAAACGAAGTCATAAAGAAATTCGTTAAAATATTTTTCATTACTAGGCTACACTGCCACTGCTACGAGATTATTAAACAATTTATGCAACATGAATTTGCTTTTACAAAGTAACACAAGAAAAATATAGTATTTACTTTAAAAGATGAGTTATAATATAGTACTAGAACTTCCATTGTGTTTTCCATCTAATAGAACAAACACTTATCTTTTAAAATATTTTGACTCATCACATGGTAATCTAAACCATAAGAACTCATTTAGAAAATTCTCCGCCATCGTAGGAACTCAATTAAATTCAAATATACATACTACTTAACAGATAATACCTTTCAAATGTATATATATACTCATAAATCCAGTGTTAATACCTGAGTATTATAGTCACGTAACTACATACAATATATTTATAATTATTCGTGATATTTTTATCGGGGTGAATTATAAATTATAGTATTGTCACCCATTACTGAAGAGTATCTAAAGGAAAAATGTACACATTTACAAAAATATACTGGAGAACATTATAACATATACATTAACTATTCATTCTCACTTGTGGATGATAAACAAATTGAAAAATTAGTTGGTTAAAATATTTATTATTATTAGGCTATTTGACTGTTGCTACGAAATTTGATTTATCGATACAACATGAACTTCTTCACACAAAGCAACACAAGACAAATGTATTTCTTACTTGAAAGAGCGAGTTGTAATATATTACTTGGACTTTGAGTGTTTTCTACGTATTAGGTCAATTAATCATATTCAAAATTATTGAGACCATAAAATATAGCAAGACGACCTGTCAGACACTCGTAGATTCATGTAAAAACCGTTCAATAGCACTTTATACAATAATAAGTTGGTTGAATAACTAAGTACTTCATCACGCCTCTGATATGCCTCATTTTTATTTTAATGTACCATTTTTTCCTAACATGTATACCTAGACTCTGTTTTTTACATCTTTTAGCTTAATACTCGTGTGATGGAATTTATCGAGCAATGTGACTTGTACCTATGCTACCATTAAATAAATCTCTATCGCCAACAATTAATTTATAATTGACCATAGTTGAATCCTGTACTTTCCGTTCACATACCACAGTGCAACGAATTTACAAATAAGTTTCAATGCAATTTTAGTTCTTATTATTGTATATTTACCTATAATATTACATTACACCCAAATGCCAAAAGTAATTACAAAGTAAATGATTGATGTACATCTTTTCAAAATTAAAAACTACAACTTTAGAAGATCTATAATACCCGGTCATTGCAACTACGTCGGTTATGTTCGAATCTCAAATTATAGGTGTTGCAAATTGCAAGTACGTATGGCAAATTACAATCGAGAATATGATAGGATGTATAAATACACCAAACACATTTCTTGTCGATGCACAACGCAATAATTTATGTTGAATCAACCAAAGGAAAAAAAAAAAAAAAAAAAAAAAAAAAAGGTATGTACCAATTCATAGTTCCTGCATGATAAAGAAAAAAATTACCACAATATAATATTTAAATGATATTATCACAACATAACAAAGAAAAATTACCACGGCATAATATTTTACAACCGAACTATCTCGCTCCTGCATAACAAAGAAAAAATTACAAATAAATATCCTCACAATTATTCAGAATTCCAATTCTAAATGGTAATAATATTTCTTTTATTAAAAAGACAAAAATGGTAGGTACTCATTCTACTTTACAAAGTATTTACAAATAGTGTAAAATTAACTATTATGTTATCAAGGGTATTTAAAAGTACAATTGTATTTATTTACTACGGCAAGTTAAATAATGCAGTAAAATACTGTAAGCTACAAATATTTAGCACATGGATCATGGTACACCTACTTAAACAGATCATATATAAACAAATAGGACATAATAATGATCAGGATAAAATATTGTACGTTATACTAGTATTTGTTAAGAAAACAAAGAATTAAGATTTTTATTAATATAATAATCATGCCCGAATATATATTTATATGTATATATATAAAGACACATTATATCAAAGCATTTAGATTATGATAGATTATGTAAAGATTCTCTAGCAGGGTTTCCTCTTCTAAAGTAATTTCATGAACCTCACCTTGATATGAACACGTGATTAACAATTGTGGATTGTTTACTCCCTCTCCATCAAAACCGATCAATCATACACAAAAATAAATAATTTTTTCCTCACAATCTATAATGATATTATCAAACAAACAAATCTTACTACAAAAGATAAACTAAAATATTTTTTTAAAAAAATAAAAATAAAATGTGACTAATGTAATGAATCCCGCAAATAGAAATATACTACTTCGTTTCGAAAACAATAAATAAAAAATTTTCCAAAATAAATTATACTGCTTCATGTTGATTTTTGGTAAATTGCCACATGATACACATAAAACTCAGACCTATATTCAAAAGGAGGAGCAAGTTGATCTTTAAAGTTGACAAGTAAACTATTATGTGATTAAATTGACATTTACATTAAAAACATAATATTTCCAATAAGCTTTACCCCAACACAAGTTTGCCTCAACACAAGTTTGCAGCCTATCATTTCTGTTTATTCCATGTACTACATACAATCAAATAATTTAACCTACACTATACCTACATAAAATTCATTTGTATAAATTGATTATTACCATGTGCCTGAACCTTCAAAATAAATAAATAAAACATAAAAGCAATTCCAATAAAACTTCAATCCCAACTTCTAACATGTTTGAACACGTCTAAAACAAAATTTACCCATTTGAAATAGAGTTACTATTGTGAATTTATTTCCGAATCAATGACTTTTATCGAACAAACCTCATAAACACAAATAAAAATATTAACGAAAGCAAAATCGAAATAAAATCCAAATTAATAATATTGAAACAAAATTAAAGTTAACATAATTCTAAAGCTAAAAAGACATTAGGAGAGTGGGAAATCAAGAGCAGAAGATATCCAAACAAACAATGCTCTTATATTGAGAAAATAAAACAAACCTTTCTTCTTTGAAGGATTCACGCACAGGACAAGACCAAATTACAAAACTTGTTCGATATTCCACGAAATTCATCAATTGAAAACTTCGAGATCGATTTATCCAATGACGGATAGTGATGGCGGCTTCGAGCAACAACTGTTCTTCAACGATGAACAACAGACCCACAACATCTTCCTTCACCAATGACGGAACGGTGGGCTTTCTTCTCGAACAGCTCGAATAGAACAATGTCGACCTCTATCTACCTCTGAATGCGTATAAATTTACAACAGATACTAATATTTTAAAACCCTAACATCCGTCGCTTGTTGTTGAAGACGTTCCGTAGCCGGCGTGATGGCAACGACAATTTCGGAAGGGACAGATGCGTCTTCGAGATCGGCAACTGGAGATTAAGTATTGAGATCAACAAATAATGGGTGTGCGGATGGTTGCTTCGATTTTTCAGTCACCAATTTCGTTACCTTCGATTTCACGCGGAAAAAAAAAATGATCGATTTTGGACGATTACAGAATGGGAAGGAGAAAACAATGAAAATGAAAAAGAGGGGAGTGCAGAGTAAATGTTTTGAAATTGGGACTGAATTATAAAATATTTGTGCAGATAGGGTTTTATATCCAATTGTGCGTTTATAAAATGATGTCAATATTAAATATATTTTTTAATTTTAATTTTAAAAATAATATCAATATTAAATATTTCTATTGTATTTATAATTTATTTTTACTTTTGAAAATTTTAATTATTATCTCTATATTTATTTTATCAATTTAAAATAATAGTTATAATAATAAAAATACAATTTAAAAAGAATATTTTGATAATAAAATTTTTAAAAATAAAACTAAATTAACTGAAATTACATATTACAAAAATTAATAATTAATTTAGTATTGATTAATTATAAAATTAATAAAAATATATAATTTTTTTAATAAATGTATATACAATGATAGGAAAATAAAAATAAATAAAAAATTAGAATAAATTTCCTTCTTGTTGATATAAAATCAAAAAAAGTATCTAAGCTATAGTGACAAAAAACAATGTAGCATGAAAGGTGAAACTAAATGAAGATATCCAAAAAAAAAAAAAAAAAACAACGTATTTTCATTGTTGATTGTTGATACTCTAATTCTCCGTGTCTTACATAAAATATATATATATATATATATACATTTCAAGCTAAAATATTAAATATACAAATCATTTATCTTCCAAAACATAACACAAAAGCACAAAACAAAAACAAAATACAAAAGAACACATGGCATTTGTTTTGATTTTGATTTTGATTTCAAACCTACTTTTTTACCATTCACCCAATACAATTTCCAATAAAGATACTACTCCCCCTACAATAGATTGTATCAACATCACATTAATATATATTTATATCAAATCAAACTTTTTTTACTAGTTTCGAAATTTCAAAAAATCTTATCTAACAGTACATTTACAATAATACTCCGTCTATCCACTTAAATTATTTTCATCTGTTATTCAAATCTATACTCACTTTCCCTTTTTGAATTGTCATCGAAAAATATTTTCGTTTATGTTTTAAGTAAAAATTTATTACAGTTTTATACTTTTTTTTTACTATAAAAGGAAAAAATAATAATTATTACTCACTTTTATTAAAACTCGTGTCCAGTCAAATGAGCACACATTTGCATGACAGATGGAGTATAACACTCGTGTTGTGCTAAATAAAGATCTAAATTATGTAAATTTTATACAAATAAAAAAACGCAAAATATCTAAATTATTTTTTTTAATAAAATAAATAAATGATCAATCATTAATTTTTATAGTTTTTACAAAAAATTTTGTCTCCAAAAACTATAAAATAAAGGACTAATCAATTATTTATTTATTTATTTTATTCAAAAAATTTATCTAAAATATTTTGCTTTTTGTATTTGTATAAACCTTGTGTAATTTAAATTTTTATATATTTTGCTTTTTTTATTTGTATAAAACTTGTGTAATTTATATTTTTATTTATAATCAGACATCAATTTTAAACAAAAAAAAAAGTTGTTTCGTGCATTTTTACTAAAACTATTATATAATTTAACTTATATTTTATCTTTTAAATAAGTTTTGACTACATCACACATTATACTAATCTACATCTACCAACTACCATAACATAAAATTAAAACACAGAACAAAAGATCTTTGCTTAAAAACACCACCAACTATCATTTAAATATATATTGAGTTTTTTTAATCTCCCCGAAAGATAAATGTATATCTTGTTAGTAGAAGGAGGGAATAATAGTATCTGACTATATACAAGAACAACAAACAAGTAAAATATGCCCAATCCAATACACTATTCATTTTTCAAAAAACAAAACATCACATCAAATGTATTTTTTTCTTTTACAAAACATCAAATCAAATACTAATTTTTTACTTTTTCAAAACTTTCAAATTTCCAAAAACCTCCAAAATCCCCTTTCTAAACAACCTCAAGATCCTCAACGTGGACATGAACATTTTAGTGTTTGCATAATTGAAAAACTATGAATGTATAATAAATCAACATTTTTTATCAATCACGCCCAACAATAATAGCAAAGAGCAAATAAATAATAAAAATACCTTTGTACATGCATACCTTTCTTCTTCTTCTTCTTGAGAATTCACAACTCCATTTTCAAGACCACAAGCAAATGTTGCCATTCTTGTCTGATGTAGCCAAAGGCTTGCCAAGATTACTCCAAGAACAGCATAAGATCGGGGCCGTGTGCTCGTTCAGCGTCTTCACAATTTTCCCGTTCGCCACCGACCAGACGTGTACCGACCCGTCCACCGATCCAGCAGCCACATAGCTGTCATCAGGGCTTACACAAGACCTGCTCCAATTCGACGCCACTCTGCCGCCATTCCCCCGTAGGGTTGCGCAGATTTCAAGAGTACGGATGTCGAACAAGTTGTGCAGGTTGTCCCTCCCGCTCGACAAAATCTTGTTCCCGCTTGTCGAAAGCGAGAGAGAAGTCACGGCAAAAGAATGCGCGGCGACTTCGCTCAGGAGTTTCCCCGTCTGAATATCCCACAGCCGGAGATTCCCGTCCACGTGGCCCGAACATATCGTCTGCCCGTCCATACTGAAGCAGATGGCATTGCAATTGCTGTGACAGAGAAGAGTGTTGACACAGTAGCCTCTCTGAAGATCCCACACTTTTATCGTCCGATCGTAGGCAGCGCTGATGACATGGCGATTCGACACCTTGCTGACATCCACAGCGCAGACTTTGTCCGTGTGGCCGGTGAGTGTGTGCCTTACACGCCCTGAACTTACATCCCAGACGTACAATGTATTCCCGCTGCTCGCTGCAATCACGGTTTTGTTATCATGGGTGATACAAATGTCGAGAACAGAGCCCAAACAGCCATTAAGCGTGCGGGTTAAAGACCCGGTGTTTGTATCCCACATTTTGATGGCTTTGTCTTGTCCGCCGCTGACCAGTTTACCAGAATTGTATTCAAACAGTATTGAAGAGCAACCACCCTCATGGGCAGGAATCCTTTGCTTGCACATAGTCGGAACAGTTGACTCAGCATAATACTCTGCGCCTTCTTCACTTTGGCGAACGATGCCGTCAATTTGTTGACGCGCAAGTAGTTGGATACTGCTTCCCTTGACACGGTCAAGTAATTCTTCATAAAGAGCGTTTGCCTAAATAGAAAGCATTAAGTATCAACCATAAAAACCATCGAGAATAAAAAATTATTACTTCACAGTTGCAAATAATAGAGTACGACATGCTTCACTCATGTAAACTCCGAATGCAGACTTCAATGGATATGTAAATAGATGATTCACTTCCAAACTCTTCCTGTATATTTTATTTCTGAAATACTTCAAATCTTCGATTCCAAAAATGCTTTTTATCTAAATATTAGTTGATATGAGATAAAAAAACATTTATTCAACACAGTACACAATGTTTAAACAATATGACTACTAAATCCATCACAATGAAACCAATGCCTAGACTCTAGAGGTTCTCCTTGATGTGTGATTTTTATTGGGGGGACGAAAATTCCACTTGAATGTTAAAATACATTTGAGTATTTGCCTAAAAGATACAAGAATTACAATGATACTGAAGCCGTAAAAATGCAGATACCTCATTCAGTCGTTCAGCATCTTTCATTTTCTCTAACATCCAACGGTCAATTAGCATCTTGTTCTCTGCCTCTGCATTGTTTGCTCTAACTGTAGTTGCCTCAAGTTGTCGTTTCAGATCTTGATGCTCCCTTACCAGCAATTCTAGAGCCTTTGTCTTTTCTTCCAGCTGCACAGCTAAGGAGGAGCATTCATCCCTGAAAATAATAAAGGCTATGACAATCGATGCATTACCTTATGTTCCACTGTATTTGACAGAGGGAGGAGACAAAAGATTTTAAGAACAAACAACACCTTGCTTCACTAAGATCCTTTTGCAACTCAGATATCCTGGATTCTTTTTCCTGTATTAAAGCTTTGGAAGCTCGGGATTCGGCCACTTCAACAACAAGCTGTTCTGATAGCCGGGATTGAGCTTTGTAACATTGCTGGAGTTCCTTTTCAAGGTTTTCAGCCTTTTCTCTCCATTCCGAGCCCTTCAATATGCAACACTTACGGATTTTAGCCAATGGTTTTACATGAGGTCAGAGGTAATAGGTTCATGTGGCGTACTCTTTTGCTCTGAGCCCTTCAGAGCATAATAATAAGAACTAGCAATCATTTTGCAACTAAGGGTGACTTTATTTGCATTTTTGTTTCCCCTCATTTTTTTTCCTAAACAAATTATCATTTTCCCCCAAAAGAATCGCATCCAACACCCAATTTCCATTTTCCATTCAATATATCACATTTAGCAACTATTTCACCTTGCTCACCTCAAAATCATCAAAACAAAAAATATCAAAAAATAAAAATAAAAATAAGAAAAATCCCAGAAATGAATAATGAATACACCCTAAAACAAGTAATTTACTATATTTGATAAATTGTATTCTCTGAATCATGATGGAATTGCATCAAATTTCAAGGCATAATCAAATTCCCCACTCTAGCATCCAAAAATTCATCTGTGATCGTATAGATGTATCTCAATATGTCCATTTTTAAGAGACTAAACAAAGCAGACAAGGAAATTCAAATGCCAAGAAACATAGAATAGAATAGAATAGATAGAATGAAACTTGCAGAAGAGTGGTGACTGATATGCATTTATAAATTGTTGCTCCAAACAATGATCCCTGATATAAATTCAATATATGTATGCTTGTACTTGAGTTTAATATGTGAATCAATCATAATTACCAAACAGATGAACCTACCATTACAATTTTTTGCTCTTACTTGCAAGACATATCTACAGTAACACTGGTAAAGGCTTACAATAATCGGCAATCTCAAAACTATTTTCCAAGAGGAACTTAAGCCTACAAGGGAAAAACTGAGGGGCCACATGAATTTCTTCCCTATGCCAATCACAATTACATAAAGTCAAAACGAGGCAAATAACCTGAGACAAGATCGGGCGAGAGAGAGCTTGCAAAGCAGGCGAATGAGCACCCTCTTCCAGTAGAGACCGTCTTTTTAGTGCTTTCAGAGCATGCTTTATTGCTTCTTCCATAGCTGCATCCTGTTTCAACCAGATAGGGAAACGAAAATCAAACCGAATGAATTTAATGAAATATTAGAGCCATGGTGTAGACCAAACACATCAACTCTGGATTGGCAAGATAATAACAAACACTACTGGACCAAATGAGAACAAATTGAATCAACATAACAACAATCACTTGAAATAGAAACTGCCAGGATTATCAATTGAAATAGCTTGCTTAACAGCATACACAAAAACAATCAGCCATATCCAGTACCCGTAACAACAAACACTCGTCGTTGTAATTGATGACAGCAAACAATTCAAAATTTAGTGACTTACAAAGCCAGCGACGAAGCGGAAGAAGAAGACGACGACAACGAAGATCCTGATCGTGGTAGATGCCGAAGAAGAAGACAGCAAAATCGGAGGAAAACAAGAGAAAAGAAAAAACAGGTAGCTTATGAAGAAGAAGAAGAAAAAACCGCCGGAGGAAAACGGCGACGGCGGAGTTGAGCCGCCGGAGACGGGAGGATCCGAAATTGAAATTGGAGTTGGGGCTAAAATCGGATTTGAGTTTCGATTTGGATTTAAGAAACAATTCGTTCGTCCACTTTAAATTGTTTCGGTTTAATGACATCGCCGGAGGAACACGGCCGTGTTCGGATAAAAAACAGCGGCCACTCCAACTAAGAAAAAACCTAAAAGGATTGGATTGCAAGCCGTGTTTGTTTTGTTAAATAATTTAAAGTAATATTTTCTTAGGGTGTGTCTATTGGAGCTTAAATTTTAAGTTGGAATTTGAAAAGTAAAAAATTTAAATTCAAATAGTTGTACGGTAGGTATAGGTAGTAATATAAATAGACGTTGATGTAATATTTTGAATGTAAAATTAATTTTTTAATATAATAAATGAAATAAAAATAAATATTTGATTTGATATTTTTTTAGAAAAATTTTTAATGAAAATCCTAACCAATCTTCCGAACAAACACACCCTTATGATATCTAAAACAATTGTAAAAATAATAAATATTATGAATTTTGGTACCTTCTTGATGTTGTTGATTAAAATTCAGGAGCATCTGAATATTTTTAATATTATTTTTAATATTTTTTATTGAGTTTGACTGAGGGTATTTTGGTAATTCAAAAAATTAATTAAGATATCTAATTGAAATAGACAATTAGAAAAAATCAATTAGAAAAAATTATTGTAACTACCTCCTATAATTTTGTGATCAAGTTTTTCTTAAACAAAACATAAACGTTTGCAAATAATTACTTTCAAAATCGTATACATTCAAATTATAATGATGTATACAGTATTTTAAAATGATGTCTCTATAATACTATTATGATGTTTTACCATGAAATATTTTTCTTATATAATTTAATTAAACGATGTCCAAATAAATGTATTATGATACATTCTATAAACTTGCCGATTATGATATGACAATTATTTAAATAAATTAAAAATCAAATATATACTATAATATTAACTTTTTTAACCATTCACACCCCATCTTATTTACTAAGACCTAAATTCACCACGCAGATACCCCTCCTCCGTCGCACTGCCTCCATCTACGACACAGTCCGCCTCTGCCGCCACTAACCTCTCCAGTCATGCCCACCGCTGCCGCTGACCTCTCTAGCCACGCCCGTCGGCGTCCAATAAGCAGCCCCGCCATCGATTCCTTCTCTATCTGCACATCCGCATTTGACGGAAGTCGGCGACGACGCGCAATTCCTCTTTTATTTAGAAGTTCACATTCGACGAATCTTCCAATGACGGATTCAACTAAGTGAGATCCCGAGACTTCTATTAAACTCAAAACAAAGAGAACGAAGCACATTCAAGTGTCATATGTGCCAAAAAAGATAGCAGATTTCAACAACGAGAAACTTTTTCGGCCAAACGAACAAATTTGGTGGTTGTGTTTTCAATACTGCATAATTTTTTTATGGTGATAATGAGTATATGTGCATTCTTGATTAGTCTTGTTTAGAAAAAAATATCAACACATTTATTCCTAAAAATCTTTTTATTGGCCTCCGGACACGTACGATGTATATTCATGACACATATGTTGTTTAACTCATTATAGAATGATGATACTGAACCTTATTATGCACAACTTTTATTTCATGTTATGGTTCATATTTATGAATTACATATTGGATAATTATGATATATTGATCAGATTTAAATGATGGTTTATGTTAGATATATTTTTCACAATTATGTTTATAAATATGATATATAACTTCAATAGACATAATATATACATCAGATATAAATGATGTAAGTTGTATATAGCTATGTTGTACGTATAGTTATGATATATTTCATTTTATGATTTATATTTATGATTTATATATTTCACCATTATATTTATATGTATGACTGAGCGGCAACATCCTCTGAACATGTTCGTTTATTATTGAGGTCAACTTTACTGTTATTTTTTCACCATTTTTATTGCGGTAATAATGAATGTATTGTATATTTGATGATCACTTTTTTCCTTTTTGCATTTGTTTTTGCACGGAAAATATTTGTCTATGCGCATATCTACAATATGACTTGTATGCATCGTTGGAGCTTGAAAAAAATGTATTTGTCCAATAGTCGTAATTGAATAGTCAAATGATATACACAGTTATAAAATATGTTGTTTATTTTAATGTAATAATATTGTTTACGGAATTTAGTATTGAATATTGAGTAACTAAATTACTTACTTTCCTTATTTACGTAGTATATGACTGGATAAATATTCTATATATATTTTAGACATTTAAATAACGAAAAAAATAATAGATATGTTTTAATTTGAAAATTGTTTTAACTCTCCATACTTGTAGGAGGTTGATCCTAAATTTAAGGGCAAATTAGTTTAATTCAAACACTTTTAAATTTGGATAAAGTATAATACTCTTTATCTTATTGGTTTTAAATATAATTTCATAGAGCAATCGATGAAATTATATTAGAAAATTAAAATTTTTAAGTGAGTACTTACATAAATTCTACAAAAATATAATAAGATTTAAAAACTTCTCAAGAAAATAATGTAAAATATATATATTTTTAAAATTTCAGGCTACATATCATTCGCACAAATATTGGATTCGACAATTACGATAAATTTAATGTCTAATTGAACTAATAGAAGTCTGCAAGTCTTCTATTATTTCAGTCATTGATTAAATAATTCTTGTGTACAACTATTGATACGTTGAATGACTAATACGATTATGATGCATATATATTTAAAACATAATGTTCAGAAGATAGGGATATGATGTAATTAATTCGCCAATACGTTACTTTCGCGATCGATAAAAAAACTTACCCCATTCTGTAATTTATAAAACGTTATCTTCGTCCATAGTACACTAGAACCGACTGAAATGCACATCATTTTGTTTCATCATATTATACGCTTCGACTTCTTCACAGTTTATTTTCTTGGATGGATGTCGGTGAAAGAAGATGAAATTATCTTTTTTTTGGATGTGAACCTATTAAAATTATGAATACGACTTGCATCTATTTGTATTTATATTTCCCTAATTTATACTAAAACAAAGCATTGACTTATTAATTATTAAAATCAAATTACATATCTACCCCTAATTGCAATCTCATCCGTTGATTAAAATTTTGATCGGACGGCTGAATTTTTTTCAGGATGATATTCAGGACCATACCCAGATTGAAATATTATACTCCCTACGTCCTACCACAATTGACACTATTTCCATTTTTTTGTTGTCCCGTAACAATTGACACCTTTATATTTTTTTAAAAAATTATTAAATCAAAACATATTTAACAAATATAAATCAATTTAAATATCGACATAACATACAACATCATAAAATGACATAGGATCCCCTCAAAACCCCTTTATTTATATTTCTCTTTAAAAAAAATTAATATTTTATCTATATTTAAAATTTCACATCTTTTATAAAATTGATTTGTGTTAATTATAAATAAACAAAAATATTTTTTATTTATTTATTTGTATTATAGAAATTTTTATTCTCTATAAAATGATATTCATATTTCATATATTTTTTAATTGCTCTATGTAATTTTTAAATATTTAAACATATATTTTAATTTTTTTTAATCATATATATTGCATTTAGTTTAAAATTATAAATATTATTAATTACATAAATAATAATATAATAATATTATAACTCATTATTATTAACTAATTAAATATAATTTTTTTAATACCGTGTCTCTAATCAAAATATTCAATTCCGGTGGACGGAGGAAGGATTAATTTTTTTTTTTTAATATTGATTTGTTTATAAAAAAAAGAATACACCATAATTACCCCTAAGCAGTGACGTAAAGGGTTTGATTGGTTTGAAGGGATTAGAACGGGAAAGAGGACAATCAAAATAAATAAATAAATAGAATTACCTTATTCGATCAATTTTTTAAAGAAGAATGGGAGGAGAAAGATGTATATGTTTTTATTTTATAAAATTATTATTATAATTTTCATATTATATATTGTATATAGGAAATCTTCTACTTAATAAAATCAATTTTCTTATAACTCTTTATTATTAATTTTTTTTTTCTATTAACTCTCCATCCTAAATATTTTATTCAACTCATATTATTATTAAAATATTTTAATTGTCCCTACTATAAGAAAAGATTTATATGCTCTTAATATACAAAATTTAAACAAACATAAAAAAAAAAACAAAATTTTTTCCCGTTGGACACTTCCATTAAGTAAAAGTCGCACGCACTAGTAGCCTTTTTGCATTAGGTTTCGCCGGAACTACTTTGTGGTTTTTCTCCTATCAATAAAGTATTGTACACTTGAAATCTAAATTATTAGTAAGTTTTTATACTATTTATTTATTGTTTTTAAATTATTTCTAGGATTAGTGTGTTTTAATAACATGTTGATTTTTTATTTTTTATTTTTACCGTAATATAGAGGTGTCAGGTGAAGGAAGAACGAAATGAATTCCATCACAAGTGATATTCGAGTTAGAAGATACAAAAGTTGTGGTAGAACCGGACATAACAGCCGAACTTACAAGTAAATTCCTTTGTAAATTCCAATTCAACGCTTCTTTTTGTTCACAAACAAATGTACATTGGTATTATTTATAAATTGTAACGTACCAGAACTTTAATTTTTGTTGGTAATGTGTAAGGAAGTTCCTTCTTTAGTTTTTTGAGAATAATGAACATGTGTAATATAAAATATTATCTTTAATGTTAAAAAATATCTATTTCTACCTATATGCATTGATTAATCTCATGTACTTATATGCATATACACGATCAAAAATCTTTGTTTTCAGCGGAACAGGGTATGTTTCCGCGAGCTAACAAAAATACACGCTTGCGGAAACACACCCTGTTTCCATTAGAAACATGTAATTTTTTTAAAAAAAGATGTTTCTAAGTAAAACCA